ACTAAGTACCGACCCATCAACCATAGTATGATCAACGCTACTATGTTGAAGAAAAGGCTCTCACCAATGTAAGAGGCACAGAGTAAAGTGTAGAAACCACGATAGGAATACTGCTGTCCCTGTAGACCAAAGAACTTGCCAAAAACCATCTTGCAGCTGAAGTGTCAAAGGATAGCCACCAAAGATGAGAGCAAGACAAATATCCTGCTTTATAAAGTTTACCACACACTAAGGACTTCTAGACGAGGAATCGAGCAAGCTAGTGAACTATTGTGTTACGCTGTCCCCACTTATCAAAAATACGTATCGTTTCCACTGGATTGATGTAGTCAATGTCTCCTCCTAAGAGAACACTATAACGATGCTCAATACGAATTCCCCCTAACCCAAAACCCGATCACATAAAAAGGACCTCAAAAACAATATGTCAGGTTAAGGACTGGGTTGTCACACCGCAGCCTGTGCGTAGTCATCTAGATGATACTCCTATTCGCTGTCGACGGTGCTGAGGTAAAAAATAGTACACCGCCGAAGACCACACCGATGCTATTTCAAGTAGTGAAACAGCTCATGCGCAATGCAGTGATCTTGACACATCGCGAACTCCTCGTACTGACCTTGGCAGTTACCACGACCGTCAGTACGCATTTTAATACGTTGGACGCAGGCGTTGTACCTACAGCGAAGGGGATAACAACATAGAAAAATTAGTGAACATTTCATCACTATGTTCACCATTCACTGTTCTATGATACTTCTATTTTTTCAAGCAAATTAAAGTCTCTCCAGCTTGCGATGAATCGGCCGCCGGTTCACCACAAGCAGGAGAGAGTCGAGCAAATAACGTCGACTTACTCAGTGAGCCACTCGGAACATTCTGCCGCACATTTAGGAAGCATGTCAGTTCTTGGATCGACATAGTCTCCATCCTCGTTCTTCCGAGGAGGATGGTACGACTTGGGGTAGTCCAACATGAATGCGAAGCGACCGCAGTAGGCACGTGCCATTGTGGAGAGGTGGAGATACTCACTACTACAACGAGAGATTGCGGCATGCTGGACAACACTGCATTCGATGGAAGTAAACCAGACAGAAGAATAGGAAGCCCCCTAATCGATGACTACCGTAAACGCGACATCCTCAGCAGGAGAGCCAAATGAGGAACAGGGGGAAAAGAACCAGGCGATAACACGGTACCGATTCCGAGGAGAGGGAGGGGCGAAATCTTGCAGTATTGCAATTACTCAACACATCAGCGCAACTTGTACGCGATGGTCTGATGATCTTTGACAGGCCTTCCGGATTTGGAAAGAGGCGACTCAAAAGCAGGAAGGAGCTCATATTTGTCCATTTGAAGTGAGTTCTTTACCACCACCTCGGGAAGGGTTCCTTCATCGGAAAGGAAGCTGAGTTCACGCATTAATGTAAAGCGTTCAGGTCCTATTGGAAAACGACTCTCCTGCACTAATGAAGAAAGCAATAACGACTTTTGTTATTTGGAAAAGGGGGAGATAGTTCCTCATAGATGATTCTCCCAGACAACGACAAACTGCTGAGCCCAGTGGTGGATAGCCACTCTGAGCGGCAGAACTCATATGGCACACTTGGCACACTCTCCCTCCACCTCACGATAAAGCATAGTAGCGGGTTGCCTCCGCCGGAACAAGGGTAATATCAACTAACCATGGTTGCCTGTTTTCACTTGCTATAACCTTCTCCCCCTTGAGACCATTTGAGGTGAAATTTCGACACTCACATGGGGTAAATGGAGCCATTGTTTGAAAAAAAGGAGTGCATTAAGGGAGAGTCAAGGCCACCGCAGGCAGTTCGAGTAATGTATGGGAGTTGCTGGTATTGCAACCGAAAACAGCATCGCCTGAACCGCCAGATCACCATGAATGTCAACTTGAACACTATCTAAACAGTCGTTAATTTCGATCAACCGCAGTCCCCAGCTCGTGTGCTTCGCCTCGACACGGGAGTGATTCTTCTTTGAACTGTGTTAGAGTCTCGAGACATGCCAATGGGGATAACCTTGGCTATTACACCTTCATCGAGAAGGGCTTCCGCGAGCTTCCTTTCGGGTTAATAATAACAGATTTAACGCCGAGCCGCTCAAAAGTTTCGTGAAGAACGTTTACGAACATCCCGCTGAGTAAAGTGAGATACACATCCCCACAGAAGCTGCGTACGAAGAGTGTTCTGCGGAGGGCCAGGGGCTGCGAGAACTCCAGGAGAAATCCTCCTGAGCATCTTGAATGTCGCTGTCTGGATCATTTACCGCACAAGAGACACGTCCAGCTTTGAGGAATCACGTTGCCCAGGGTTTGATAATGATGGGGAAATGTTCCTAATGTGGTAACATTTACATGGGAAACTAATCGGAGAATGTATTCATAGTCACGTGACAAATACAAAAAAATGAGTTCTCCGCGGTAACATTATAGGTTCCTGGATGATTCCCTGCAACCTGCTGTGGGCAAAGACTTTCTCAGAGTGAAATTTACTTGCAGCTCCAGTATGGCGCGCATCTCCCGAGAGCATATCGGTATCGCTATGAGTGTTAGTAATTGAAGAGGACTCGAGACTCGACAGCTCTCAAGTATAGTCTTCCAATTTCAGCTCCTCTACACTCTAAATGAACGCAGGGGACGACGATCCCGATGGACACGGTGAAAACCAAGTTCCAGGGTCAGGACGATTACGGGCTACTTGCAAAGCCTCATACATGACTTATAATAACGCTGCCAATATCAAGACGGAAGGTTGTCAGAAGTGAACTAGGTCGGCGTTCCACCGTTAACACAGCACTGATAATGGTAGCAAGACAATCCAACTGTTCCGTGTAATCCACCTCCTATGAAATGGTTCTGGCCGAGGGGCCATAGCCCCTGGCTGTACTCAAATAAATAATAACGATCTTCCTCTTCTCCTCATACGGCTGATATGCTCGTAAATCACGTCAGGTGTTAGTGCACAGGAGGTATATGGATCTGATCCGCGTAGCCCCATTTCACAGCACGACGACGAGCTAGCCACTCGGCGAATCGGTGATGGTCAAATCTGGAACAGAATAATAATGAATCAGCTACCACGGCGACTGCTAGGGGAACGGCATTTACACTTGTCCAAGATAAATCGAGTCGAAGTCCCTGAAGAACTCCTCGTGGTCCATAACGTTCTCTTGGGGCTCTCTTTGACGTTCCTATAAGATATCACACCAATTCGTCACAATGCAGAAGGAATATGCAAGCCAACTCCAGTTCTCGACTTACGTTAACGTAGATCCAGAAAATTGCTATGTTGATGGGAATGAATCTCACAAAGTAGACAAACGCGTGGTAGTTGGCTTGCAGGAAGGCGGTGAAGAATCCATACCATCCGATACGCTCACGATAACCCTGCCATACACAACGATAGACTCAGTAGCACTCTCGAGTCGTACTTGCAAATTGAAGTGGACATCTGGGTCTATCTTTATGAACTTGTCGGGAACACCACCGCCACACCATAGAGGCCAATGAGGCATACCTTGAGAGAAATCAACAGTGGCTTCGATAGAAACTCCCCTACCTGTGATCGCCTGACCCTTAGTGAAACTGTAACCGTGATCACACCAATCAGCCATAATGCCATAACCTTTGCCTCCTCTGAAAGAGACGATCCCACCAGATAGACTCGGGAGCGGACTCACAGCCTCTTGGCACCTCCTCCGGCGAATCCACTGGTGATAGCACCACGAGCCTTCTGATTAGGCCCTCCGATTAAGGGGTTCTTAACAGCTTCGCATACACGTTTGGGTATGACCCTTTGCGGGCATGCAGCGCGACGCAACAACGACATTGCAACGACACAAATAGAAGCCAAGATAGTTAGGTAGATGATTTTCATCATGCGCGACGAGAGTGCGGAGCGAAGCGATTTATATTGTGCATTTCGAGCACCACCAATCTGCGTTAGCTATGGGGGTACGTGCTATATCCTTTTCAAGGTAGTGATGAATTGGAAGGTTGTTCGAATGTGTAACGAGCTGAAAAGGCTAGACTGTAGTGGAAAGGACAGTGATGCCGACCATGATGTCAGGGTTGCTCTCGGACCGAGACTATCGGCCTCCTAAGTCAACACAGTGACGTATTTACTGTAGTATCAAGATCGTTTGGCACGCATTAACCACTGAGATTTGTCTTCATATACTAAATCGTGAGGTTTCTCGAAACTGCACTTGTCGTATGATACGAGTCTCTACTGATCATCCCTCAGAAACTCGAGGCCGCCCGCCTCGTGTCTCCATGTGTTTGGCTAGATTGTTAACCACAATGCTCACATCTTGAACAAGTGAATATTTTTGGCGCTCTCGGTAAAGTGCGAATATAAAGCGTGAAAAAACTCAGCATCACTGAGTCAGTAACCACCACAACTACTTCTGCAAGATAGCACTACAGACTGTAGACCTGATCTTGCAAACTGTACTAGTATAGTGCAGTCTTGCACTGTAGTCCACAGTGAGGTCACGCGCTGTTGGAACTCCCCAGATATTGCATGCTGGTAGTGATGTAAATTTCCAAAGATGGTCTACTTCGGCACTCTACACCATTTCGCCCAGGTCCCCAGTTAATATCACTCCAACGACACAAGAATGTTCTTGAGGGAAAACCGATGGTTCAGTAACGTAGGGTTATAACGTAAAGCAGTTCGACACGGTAGAGGGATAGTTTACACTAGAAGCACGGCATTGATGCAGCCGTCCAACTCCGGGTTGTTGGTTACTTGGGCGTACCTGTGTTAAGAGCATAGTAGTTGGAAAGGACATCCTTGTTAACTACTTAGCCCAGACGACCTTGCCAGTTTGCGTGACAAGTCCGAGATCGCTGACGTTCACTTCAATGATCGTACCCTTAGTAATGACGCCAAGGGACGAGTACAACTCCGACTGAGGGTTCTTCTTCACAGACACGATATCCTACAAAAGTGGCAAAAGTCCGCAATAGAAGTAACATCAAATACACTCACCAAACAGAAAGTTGTTTTCAACTCAGGATGGGTAACGTGCGCCTTCTTGAAACGCAAACTGGATGGTCGAATGAACCGCTCGTACTTCGGAGGCTTACGAGTGAAGTCTTCGCCAACGAAACAGATCTTGTTGACCTAGGAATTGAACACAGTGTGGTACTGCGACACATTCCTGAACCCTTCAAACTTACGACGCGCTTCCACGCCTTCTTCTTTCGCTTACCAGATCGCAAAATCTTAAACCTGTCGAGGAGCATATCCGATAGAACATTGCCGACGGTCATCAGCCTTACATCTCATCCTCCGTCATCGCCTTGACCTTCGGCACAGGAACCTGCCACTTTCCCGCTTTCTCTGCTCTCTTCTGCTTCACCATATTAGACAGAACCTTTGTCCGGTTGACCCCTAGCGACTAGAAATCGCCTTATGGGATTCTCAGGGAACTCCTACCTTCCCTGTCCAACAGATAACCAGGAACAGCTCCTTGAGGGACGCTGTCCTCAGGCGCCTTCTCCTTTCCTTCCTTCTCCTGGTGCTTCTTGATGGTCTTCCGCATAGTCGCTTTCTCGGCATACCTGTAAGTTCACTTTAATTATCCGAATGATAGAGTCGAGAGTCACCTCTTCTTGTGGAAAAGCTTAGCCTTGATGCCCCTGAGCTTCTGCGCAGTCTTAGACTGTTTGTGGACGGCACGAGCATCTGATGACAGAAAAATCGAGACTATGACAGATCCCCGCATTACCCTTCTTCCGCTTCCGCTCTTCGTAATCCAACCTACGGCCGAACCGTTTACGGTGTTCTTCAATATGCTCGTTCTGCGGCATATTAAAGAGAAGAAATGCCCCCTATAGCAGAAATAGTGACAGACTGTGGGAATCCCGAGCTTCCAACATAACATCGAGGAAAATAATTAAAACGTTCTCTGCGAAAGTTGATACTACACATAGCATGCGAATAGCTCAGAAATAGTCGCATTGCAAGTACCGTGATCGTTAATCCCAGACGTAAAGGCTCATCTCCCTTGCGTGCTGGGAGCGACCAGAGGGCCGTTGGAATGCACCGACTGGACAGTGCTTGAAGGGCTCGATCCACGGAATGATATATCAACACTTCCAGATGGAGTTGCATTGATCCCCACAGTGGTGCGCGACGAGGCCCAAGTTCCCCGCAGAGAACTCTGAGGCAAAATGGCGATCACTACAAACAGGCTATGGTCAATCGAGCACCAATTCTGAATACCAACATTCTACCATTTAGAGCTTGGGACCAGGACGGGAGGGACACCTGCGGCAGCATTGCCCATCAACCAGAGTCCACGGGATCAAGGTTCGACCACACATGCTCTGGGCATCCAAGATGCATTATTCTAACCTGTTGTGGAAACACGTCGATTGCTCCACAGGGAGTATTGACTTCCCACCCATGCCGATACGACACTGTCGCCAAGACAGCGCTGCTATATCACCAAAAGTAATACAACGATCCCATCAGTGTTAGACAGGCGAAGTGAGTGGGCACTGACTGAATCGAGGCCAGGACTCCGATCGACCACAGTTACATATACTGCACGAGAAGTCCAGAAGACGACTAACGACGGAGGGATCGCCCGGCACTACTACCACTTTCTGACATATTTGAGCTTCTTGAATTCCCTCAAGCCCTGCGGGTCTTGGTTGCTTGTTACGAACAAGTCCATTCCTGGACGAAAGTTCGCCATGTAAGTGTCGTAGTCAGTCTGAAATGACATATTCGAAGGACCCTACACTACCGAACGCTCACCGCTAATATTATATTGCCGACCTCGTCACATAATCAACCTCCTGAAATGGCATGATCAACTACGTATAACGTGTAACGTGTAACGTGGATGAACATGCTGTTCCCTGCAATAGAGATGGCGATACTTCTGTGCCTCAGCATATTAACATGATCTTCACTACAATGTCCATGCCCACCCCTTACACTATTGAAGTGAAGAATCCACCAATTATGAGGGGGAAGCTTTAGGCACTGTACACTCCCTTACATAGCCAAGGGCCGGAGAGTTACCTGACAAAACAAATAGAGCGCAGCATATCGATCATCATGGCTCGCGCTTTTTCCATCGCGAAGGCGTGGATGATGGTATAATGCCCAGCCCAGTAGGTCGCTCAATGGGTTCGCCGGACTCAGCTTCTTCGTCAAAGTGGTCATCGAGAGTCTCCCAGTTATTTGCAACCGATCCAAACTCAGTCCCGCTGTGATTCCAAGCCCCAGCCGAGTAGCCAAACTAACGGCTAGATTGCCAGCTCATAGATGTGAGCCGATCTCCCCCACTAGCTGGTGAATGAGCATCAAATGACCTGGAGATCACTTTTATGAAAAGAGAATGCAATCTCACGAACAAAGACATCACTTTCGGGGCCCCGAATCGGGGCCCACATAGTCCCCACTGGGAACTCCCCAGTGGGGACTATGTGTTCTAGCTTCCCATCGGACTCGTCTGTATAATGTTTAGGACTTGACATAACCAAAGGATAGGTTGTAGGTTAACAATATCAGCTTATAACAAGAGCATGAGACATGGAATTACCAATTTGTTAATGTCAACAGCGCTCGCCATGCTAATCTATATATGAGTCTTGCCGGGCAGGCACATGCCCCCCCCGGAAAAAAGGGCGTATCTCGTAGAGTACATAGAAGTACAAGTAAGGGATAGCGAAAAGAGTAAAACGTTGCTTAGCTACGGCTGGATGAGGATCCAGTCTTAGACAGATAAGGCTTACGAATAAATAGGTACGAGTCGTATCGTACGACATGAAGACAGAATTAAGAAGGGACACCGGCCTTCTGAAGGAGGGTGCGGAGGCTCTTGGCCATACTTCCGTTCTTATTAAGTTTAACATCAGGTCCGCAACAAACAATAGCCGCGTAATCGACAGGAAAAGGGTCGGCACTTGAGTGGTCAGCAGTCAGTCTATGCCATCTGCCGTCATCATCAACCAGAAGCCGGCGTAGCTCGACTTCCTCATCTACGACGTTGTTATAGAGAACTTCGGCCAAGTCGATGAAAGTAGTATCGTCATCAGTTCCATCCATTGTTCTGAAAGCAACCAGATCTCCCGTATGTAGGTCTTCAAGTGGTATTTGTCGAAGCTCTCTGGATTGTGGAAGAGCGAAATCACCGTACGAGTTAGACAGATGGGCGGTTGGCACTGTGAAGAGTTGCCAAAGTGGAGCATCACCGCCATCAGTAAACTTGGCCATAGTATGTGTTTCGTTGATAGAGTCAATGGTAAAAGGACCAGTGACCTTCCTTTTGTGTAATCCATCGACAAACACACGGCAAACTCTGTCGCCCACTTCGACGGTCGGCTCGATGCGGAGCCTGTCAGCAAGACCGGAAACTCGTTGTTCCGCGATGATCCGACGCCAATGGTCATGAATAGATTCCAAGTTATCACGTAACTCGTGTAGGTAATCACTTCGACTTATAACAGATGAGGCGTTTGTGACATCGTTGAGGAGGAGGTCTAGAGCATCGCGGGTCTTTCCACCATAGACAAGTTCCTCGGGCGTTACGTCCTCGCCATACCGAGCTGACACGTTGTGGATACGAGCAATCCATTGTAGATTCTCCAGAACAACGGCAGCAGGCACATGTGCTAGTAGACGGCGAATTCCAGATTTCACAGCGCCGACACATTGTTCAGCACTGCCTTGAGGCTGTGGATGGTGTCCAGCACCGACGATGCTTCGTACGCCAAAGGCTTCGAAGACAGAGCGTGTGACCTCGGATACGAAACTCCCGCCTCTGTCGGATTGGATAGTACGTGGGAGCCCGTAGCGTAGACACCACGACAGGATACCAGTGATAGCAGAATTACTGTCTTGAGTGGGGACCGGCACCAATTCTAGCCAAGAACTGAAGTTATCGACTATCACTAGGACGCTTGGGGCTTCCCAGTCAGTAGAGGCCATGTGGAAGCCTGTTAGAGGGCCTAGGAAGTCGATAGTGATAGATTCGAACCGTCGAGTTATTGATCTAGGTCGCTGTCCGCCGAGTGGTACGAGTCGTAGTCTCTCCTTCCGACAGGTTATACATAGCTCTGTGAAACGCCTAGCGTCTCTCTTCATAGAAGGCCACCAGAACTGTTGTCGAAGACGATGCAACATCGAAGTCGTTGGTGAGTGGTGCCAATGGGAGTTTGCGAGAAGCTCAGTTCTCAGTTTCTTTTCCCATGGCTTATCGGACTCATCAGGTATATATAGCCGCTTGTTGCCGTCCGCGTCAACAAAGTAGATGTGATTGTCTTCAGCCAGAAAACACCATAGAGTCGAATTCTCGCGAGCAGTTCTCTCAGATGATTGGAGTAGAAGACGTCGGAGTTCGTGGTGTCGCCATTTTGTGCTGTCCCGAGGTAAGGCATCAGCGCAGCGCTGTAGAAACTCGTCGTTCAACACCAAGGTATGACTGGTGGTGGGGAGATCGTCGCTCTGATCCTCAACATCAGCTGTAGGGAACTGAGATTGGTTATCGGCCAGAAAGAAGAGGTTCTTCTTGTTTCCTTGTTGAAGAGGTTCGGGGATGATAATATTGGTAACCCACCTGCTCAGATGATCCGCACGCTGGTTGAGAGATCCTGGGAGATGAGATACAGTGACGAGCTTCACCCCACGATTGAGTAAGACTTCTTCCGCTTCAGAGAATTGATCGACAAGTCGTCGTACAGCGAGACGGTCGTATCCTTTCAAGTGGCTGAGATGCTTTTGGCACCATGTTACCGTTGACACATTGTCTGAGTAGAGCTCGACCTCTCGTATAGGTAATCCTAGTTCGACAAGTCGCACTATTTCACGTATCATATCCAAGAGTGAAAAAAGCTCCTTGCGATTTGTATGCCAACGTAATCTTGTGGGAAAAGCACGCGATTTTTCGCGTATGGTAGTTTCTTCATTATCTTGTAGAACCCAACCATACCCCTGCTCACAGGCATCGCTATATCCTCGGATAATAGTAGTATCACACCATGAGCGATGGCTGCAAGTTTGGCTGAGTTGCTGGGCTTGTGAAAAGAGCTTGCGGATTTTGCCATAGTCACCATTGCCGAGGGGAAGTACTTCGTCCCATGATGCTTTGTCCGTAGAGCATCCATATCGGCCACACCAACCACGCACCAAATCGAAAATGAGACTGCGTTCTGGATGTAGTCGTAGCGGATCCGGGGCAATTCCGCATAAGCGAAATAGTGTCCTTTTAGTCAGCGGTCCATGTAGGTCCCAAACAGAGGTGTCCGGAATCGGACAATTGCAGCATAGTCGGTTGGTGTCATCAAACCACCAGTCTAGGCCCAAATGGCGGCTTGGGGTCTTTGCGATTGTGTCGCTTTTTGAATCAGGAAATTCAATACCGCAGCAGGAACCGATGGAACTGAGTAGGTCCCGCACTAGACAACCTAGCCGTTCGTCTGTCGTACTGATGGCAAAATCATCGTAGTAGACTACGAGGCAGAGGTCGTTGATGTGAAGGGGTCTTTCCTCTGGGGAAAGAGTAGGCGTTGGCTCGCCAGTGAGCGCACTATACACAGATAGTATCAACGCGTTTGTGAAAGCCGAAAGTGCTAGGGGTCCGAATCGGACCCCGAACACGACTCTATTGGATACATACTGTACCTTATTAGCAGTTAGAAGCAGTCGGCGATGTTTGGGGAGCCTGAGCCTATAAAAGGCCTTGGATATATCCCGGAACTGTAAGCTCCGGGACGGATTTCCGAGCAGTAGTGTAGCACAGTCAGATATAGGTAAGTCATAGTAACCACAGACGGGTAAGCCAACGTTCTTTTTCCGAGCATCGGCACACGGGCGTATACTGTGGCTCGGATGGTTGGGTTGGTGCACCGGAAAAATAACAATGGCGTTGTCGAGGTCCTCTGAGGATGATCCCGTGGGGCACCACCAACCTTTTGATATGTAGTTGTTGACTTCTCCAGAAAAAATAACATTTTGTGCTTCTGTCATCTTAGCCAAGATGTTGTAGCCATAATCATATGTATTTTTTGTGGTTCTTGATCTGGGTTCGTCGTTAGACTTCTGGTCAATCCAATCGAATTCATAGACAAAACTTTGATTGGGGGTGTCCTTCCTCTCGTCCTGCTCGATCGGCCTTATCCTAAACTGGTACCATTTATTGCCCTGTGTTCGGGTCCAATCCCGAAACTGAGATGTTAAATATTCGGTACCATATTTTACCATATCGTCGTACGAACGTGAAAAGTCTGCACTGACACGTGGAGTAGGTCTGCTATAGGCTAAGAAGATCTCGTCAAGAGGCTGTATCTCTTCTCTGTCTTCTTCTTCCTCTTCGATAGACTGAAGTTTATAGCAAGTCTCGGAAGGTGATAAGTATGGTGATAAGTGTGTTTCTTCTTGAGAGTTGGGCATTACCAATTTATATCCCAACATAGCCATAGTTCGATACCCAAGTAAAATATCCAAACCGGCTGGCATATACTCATCATCCAGAACGTAGCATTCAGTAGTAACTTTTTTTCCTGGAGATTGGAGTATGCATAGCCGTGCTTGTCGGTCAAGTGATAGGTCTCCACCAAATGTATTCACAGTAATGTATTGGTCCAATTTTTGCACTTCCGACTGTAGCTCTTTACATACAGAAGCTGCACATAGATTCACTGTGCTACAGGTATCCAACCCCGCGTGTACAGTACGACACGTAAGATCCGGGCAGATGATATCAACATTGCCAGTCGCGAGGTCTCCGATATCGGTAGTACCCGCCAAAGCATATGTATGCCCACTGCGTGTAGCTTTATTTGTGGATACATCACTGTCGTTGGACTTATTGCTGGCCGTGTCGGATTTGCTGGATCTTTCAACTTTATTGGGGCAGTTATATTTCATGTGGCCCTGTTGTCCACATTCGAAACAAGTACCTTTAACAGGTTTCTTTGATGTCTTCGAGACCTTGTTCGAGGCATCCGAGTCTGATTGTTCCTTTTTAGGGAGAGTTGGGCTTATTGCCGACGTTGAAGCGGTAGAGGGGAGAGTTGAGCTTGATGAAGTTTTTGGGTCCTCTTTTTTTGGTCCGTTCTTCAGGTTCTTCTCACTATCTTCGGGCCACTTTTTGAAGGACTTTGTTTTCATATACATCCCCTCCTTTTTTGTCTGCTTCTCAGATGGTAAGCCGAGAAGGGTATCCAAAGTGGTAGGCGCATGTTTTTCTGCGAGCTCGTCCAGGCGGTTGTTGAACTCGTCGAGGTTTCTCGTCTCTCTCAGGGCCGGAAACTCATCTGCTCGAGTTATCTCGACAGAGAAGTACTGATATCTTCCCAAACAGTAGATGAGCTTATCACGACGTATTTTCCATGCGGTACCAGAGAGTTGGACGCCCTCGATTTGAGAGTGCAGAAGATGTTCTTGGGCTAGGAAAGATGACCAAGGTTGTTTTAGTCGTGGGGTTAATATACACCATCGACGCAGCAAATCACTGGTATCTTGGGGTTCGAACTTAGAGGTTATTTTGGCTCGTATCTTGGCGAGAGTATCGTTGCAAGTCTTCATCCAAGATCCAACCTCATCCTGTATACGCTTCTGAGCCTTCGGGTCTGTGGTATTCTCCACTCGGATATTTCGCCATGCCGTGAGATTCTTGGCGTTGGCGAGTGCAGCTTCTTGAACGATGAGGCCGACTCTTTTGGGGGCTAGATAGCCCAAGAGTATCATCGCCAGAGGGCTCGATAGGCGGGCCATTTGGATGCAGTTCATGATCTTTATCCAGTGGCCCTCATTCCAGTCGTCGGAATTCACCTTGTGAAGATCCCATTTCGAACAGAAGGCACCAAAAGAATAGAGAGCTTTACCACCAGGAGTAACCAACCGTAGACCAGTGGCCTGTCCATAAGGCCTAAACTGACCAAAACCCAACAAAACCATAAGAATATCAGAGGGATTCCCAAGTTTACGGAGGGCTTTTTCATCGTATTGGTCGTCATCAGACGTCGGGCACGATGTAAGCAAAACCGAGTTCAGAAAATTAAACTCGGATGATGCACCATGTTCTAGCTTCCCATCGGACTCGTCTGTATAATGTTTAGGACTTGACATAACCAAAGGATAGGTTGTAGGTTAACAATATCAGCTTATAACAAGAGCATGAGACATGGAATTACCAATTTGTTAATGTCAACAGCGCTCGCCATGCTAATCTATATATGAGTCTTGCCGGGCAGGCACATATGTGGGACTCCAATGTGGGAGTGACTCCCAGGGAGTCCCAGTGGGACTGCCCCACTTATGTGGGACTTGTGGGGACTCCCCACAGGGTGGTTCACTTCTCAGCAACTCAGCAATGGTGCCGAACTCGGACAAGTGCGCACTTGTTACACCACACTTTTCTCGCCAACGTCAACTTAGCACCGTTGTTAACGGCTGAGCAATCGTTTTCAACACTCAGAAATCTACTTACAACTATCTACGACTTGGCACTCTCGACAAATCTCAAGTTTCCGGAGACAGTTGAGATTCTCAACTGGCCCCGGAAACTTTCTGGCGGAAAGGGCCCATCCTAGGCAAAACTCACTAATCTAATTAACAACCAGACACGGTTGACCAATCTATAGAAACTTCAGAAACTGCACGGTCAGCAAGGTGCTATAGATCTCTCACTCGGATTCCACTTAGTTCGCTTATGCGTTCCAAGTAGGTATCCAAGTTTATCCTACCAGCCCGGTAGTCCTGGTAGTGATGCAACCTGCGCTGTTCTTCGCTCCTGGACTCACGAGGTGGAGTTCCATCCATCACAGAGTTCAAACGAGTGTCGGCTTTTGATTGAACAATCTTGAGCTTCTCGCAGAACCCCTTGACGGGAGGATGAGCAGTTGTGAAGCTATGGTTGAGATCACTGTGTAGTCCCTCCACACTGTGGAGTCCACAGGGCTTGTGGTACGCTGGGTTGCATCAATGGACGGCTCGGCACACCATTGGAAAGGCGGGAATACGGCGTTGGGACCTACATTGTTGGCTTCCATGTAGGCTATAAAACGCTCTATGTCAGCAGCTTGCGGCGCGGTCTGCTGTAGGCGCTGCCAGGCCGCAAGACAGTCGTCGACAGGTAGGCACGCAATCCCGCATATTCGATGTAACCACCGACGGTGGTCCACCGTCCTTTATCCGTTCTCAAGTGCCTGGGGGCTCGGTATTCAGCCGCCAATTCATCTCGCATATTACGGACCCAACAGCGACCAAGATGCCATAGACATCCTCTAAGCTGCTCTTCACCAATCTCCCACATTGATACTAATGCATTTCGCATCGCAATTTCATAGTTCGCTATGTAATACAATGTGCTAACAATGTGGAAGAGTTGACGTTGACCAAGGTCGGTACGAATTTGCAGTAGTGCTCGTTCGTACTCTTGCTGCGTCCGCCTTGTCATCAAGACGAAATAGGTAGGAACATAGTGGCCATCTATCTCTGCAACTCCGGTCCATAACCGCTCCCAACCAGGAGGTGCGACGTAGAACGTTCTATCCCACAATATTCCAGACGCACGATTCAGAGCAGCTATACCGTGATCATCATAGTCGATCTCATCGCTGTAACCGACAAAAGCGACGAAGAGCACTACTACGGTCCTCAAGTCGCCCCTTCTGTCTGTAATCCTGACAATCTCGCCGTTGGCAATATCACCAAAAACTTGGTCCAGAGGAACAAAGAAGCTTTCGTACCTCCCACGGTCATCGACGATGTCCATTCCAACGATGTGGACAATCGCCTGGCGCTCGTCGGACTCGTGAAGAGAATTCATGGAGGAAGGTGTTGGATGTATAGTGTGACGGAAAGTAAAGTAGCGGGTTGGTATCTCTAGCGACTCGCTAGATAAACCTCCCTCGCTAGTAGCGAGGATGCGTGTATCCGTGTGAGTGCGGGTATCCTAGCATCGACGATGCCGAGAATGCGACGCCTATGCTCATAGTCTATGAGTCATAGAATATTTCCTAGCAGTTGAAAGAGAGGTTGTCTCTTGTGCTTGCGTGCTTGAGTGTGAAGACTCCACAGTGGAGTCCACATTGCGATCGTACTATTCGGTCGTGGCCCACGACTCGTGGGCCACATCACGTACTATTGTGCTCAAGCATTGAGAGACATTGGTACCTGCCAGGTACTACCTGGTTGAGTATCCGCCAAGGCCATTTGTAGCATCAGACCATGAGGTGTCGGAACTGGAGTCGCACCTCGTGTATATGCGTAACGAATGCTCCACACTGTAAAGCAATGGCGTATCATTCTTGTGCGATATGTTCCACGTAGGGTACGTATTCTTTATGTACACGTCGTATATGACTAGTTGTAGAGTTAGTCGTCATTTGGGACTGTGCTGTAATGCTTTATCACAGCATTGATGTCTCACAGATCCACGGCCATATCGGTAAGTCTCTGACGGAGGCAGAGACTGTCTTAGTATTACAAATGCTCAGCTTGACTGTACTCGATGACTTCATTAAATGGAGTTCATCAACTTCGACTCGAAGTCTTCGAGTAGCTTATTCGACTTCAATTTGAAGTCTTCAAACATACCGCCCTCGAAGTAATGGCTTGGCTTGCTCGAGAACGAGCGATTTCGTTGCAATCGCGACGCAATGCAATGTTTTGGTGAATCTCACCTGTGAGCTAACTCTCACATGCTAATGCGATGTGTCCCCTCGACAATGAGGATGTGGTGGTTGAGCGCTCGGGCTTCTATATCACGACCTAAGCATTCCATGAGCAAACTCTTCAATTACGTGGCAGTGCACGTCGTGAGCACTCTCTTTAAATTGAGGCCCCAATTGGGACTCAATCGTTCAATCCTTTGTTGGATCGATGGAGTAGAGACAGACGTCCTCTGGCGGCACGATCGATTTCGGAAGCGCTATTCCCGTGAGATACCACAGTGACGAACCACCTCACTTCCCACACTGCAGCGTTGTGGTACCAACTACTTCAAACTAACATCATGCCCTCCTTTGTCCTATCTCTCATGCTCATCTTCGCTGTTATTAACGGTCTTATCAACGATGCTATCAACCGCGGTTTAGACGATGATGGTTGGCTTGGGCCGGACGAGTTAGACCTTTCACGGGAACCAGATCACTGCTATGGGTGCACGAACTGCTTGAGGAACACGGATCCTTACATCGGGATGCATATCTGTTCGCAATACGATTTCATCTGTGGCCTTAGATGCGAAAATTGTTGCAACACGTGAGGCTCCTCTATTTGCTTCTGTAACTGGTGGTTCTCGTTGTGACCTTGTTAACTTGCCAATACGAAGCATGTGTCCTGCTCGCGATATCAGATGAATTTTTTGATCATATTATCATGTCAGCTATGAACTCTGTCACCACGGTTATACTATGTGATACCGCCATCCTGTATACGCCATCCAGATCGGCAGTATAAAATTCATCAGGTTCTGCCGATGGAAGTTGTGGAATCCACTATGTGGACTATAAAATGAAGTCTGCTCCACATTATTTTCATTATGCTTCTTATGGGGGAAGCTCATAGACTATAAAATATAGTCCTTTTAGAGGTTGTCCTGTCGTGTTCTATGACGTGTCGGGAGTAGTTGTCGATATTCCTTCGCAGCTGATTCATACTTCGCGTTATGCCAAACGTCTCGTTTGGCGACGCCGGTGACTCGTATCCCCATAGTGGCCTGTCACTACGCCTCCAACTTCTCCTATGCCTTCTACTCAAACTACGTTCACGGCACTTCGCACATGTTACTCCAAGCGGTGGGAGCTCAACCATCAAACTCTATCTGTCGGCAACCCCTTGAACTCGATCATTGTTCACAGTCGCAACTGAGGCTATCCGTTTCCGTTCCACCGCAACTTTCGGTCTCGTGGCCGGCGCCGGAACGCCGCAGCTCAACTCAGTAGGTGGCTCAATCGGACTCGGCCTCTCCGTCAAGATGGTCATCGAGAGTCTTCCAATTATTTGCAACCGATCTACACTCAGTCCCTCTGTGACTCCAAGCCCCAGCCGAGTAGCCAAACAACCGGCTGAATTGCCAGCTCATAGATGTGAGCCGATCTCCACCACTGGCTGATAGATAAGCATGAGATGACCTAGATGCCTGCTGAGCAGAAGTTGGCACAGCTATGGCAGCCAACATCTAGTACTGATGTTGGCTAACTCGAGATTTCAAGAAATCTCAACTTAGCTGCAGCTGCACCAACTCTCCAGTAAAGGCCTACATCGAACAGCCATCTCCAACCATCTTGTGCCTGTTCGTGGTCCAGACGCAACCGACACGAGAATTGGAAGTAGCGACGACCCTGGCAGGGTCGTCCTGGCAGTGTCGTCGCAGCTGCCCGCCGGGGTGCCGCCGGGTGACTCCCAGGGTCACCCTGCAAACGACGGTTCCAAATAGCTAGTGGATAGTCCGAGCAAGTAATCGTCTGATAACTGAACAGCGTGACGTTGAGGGATTGCGAGTGAGAGTAAGATCCTCAAGATTTGCAGCATCAATATGGAAAACGTCACGACCACTCGAGTGCTCATGGGCCAGAGATTGTACGAGGAAAATCAAAGTTGCGGAAATTGCAGGGATATTTCCCTCACTCCCAATCACCTATTCTGATACCAACGATGGTCAAGCAACATCAAGAGAATGTACAGCCGCTCATTCGCAATGTCCTCCACTCGACAAGTAAGGGAATCTCACATCCTACGATGCCAATACGATACTCTTGTTATAACCCCATTGTCTCAGGCAGTATAATCACAGCGGCCCTCCTCAGCGTAATCATCATTCTATTCGTGGTGGCCGTCTGTGTGGCACTCGCAGGATTCAGCGAGATTCTACGTGTCGGAATGCTGTGAGATGAA